TACTTGACCAGGATGCAGCAAGAGTTGGAAAAAAATATAACTAGAGAACTAAAGAAGCTGCTGCTGAATTTGAATCTGAATCCTATAGACCTTCTCCTCCAGCTTCAATTAATAAGTCAAGTCTATATCAAGATCAAGTTTTGAAAATATCAGAATATGTATAGATTTTTAAGAAAAATTGTATGATCTGAAATATAAATAGTAAAAATTTATTTACTGGACTATTTATATAAATTTTGTTTCCCATTAAACACAGGACATGGGAAATCTTTATTAAAGAAAAATATTTTTGTATCAAAAAAATTCTGGAGCTGGGAAGTTTAATAACTAAAATGAGAAATTCACTATTCAAAGACAGATTTCAGCAGGCAGAGGCAATATTCAGTGAACTTGAAGAAAGAGCCATAAAAATTATCAAGGCTGAGTAACAGAAAGAAAAAAGGTTGAAGAAAAGTGAAGAGAGCCTAAGAGACCTGTGGGACGCAACACCATCAAGAGGACCAACATATGCATGTGGGAGTCCCAGAGGAGGAGAGAGACAGAAAAGGGCAGAGAGGATATTTGAAGAAACAATGGCTGAAAACTCCCCTAACTTGATGAAAGGCATAAACATCCAAGAAGCTCAACAACTCCAAGTAGGATGAATTCAAAGATAGCCACACTGTGACACATTATAATCACACTTTCAAAAGCCAAAGACAGAATCTTCAAAGCAGAAAAAGAGACAAAAATCACAACATACAAGGGGTCCTCAATAAGAATATCATCAGATTTCTCATCAGGAACTTTGGAGACCAGAAGGCAGTGGGTCGATATAGTTAAAGTGCTAAAAGAAAACTGTCAACCAAGAATTCTATATCCAGCAGAAATGTCCATCAAGTAAGGGAGAAATGAAGAAAATTCCAGATAAACAAAAGTTGAGGGAGTTCGTGACTACTAGACTTGCCCTGCTAGAGATGCTCAAGGGCCTCCTGCAAGGTGAAATGAAAGGACACTTGACAGTAGCTCTATACATAAACAATCTGAAAAGGAAATTACGAAAAGTTTTACTTAGGATCAAAAAGAATAAAATACTTAGGAATTAACCAAAGAGATGAAAGACTTGCATAATGAAAGCTATAAAACACTGCTGGAAGAAATTAAAGAATAAATAAAACATATCCCATGTTCATGGACTAGAAGACTCAGTAAAACCTTGGATTGTGAGTAACTTGGTTTGTGGGTGTTCCGCAAGACAAGCAAACATTTCTATTAGGTTGGTGCAAAAGTAATAGCGGTTTGTGCCATTACTTGTAATTGCAAACACTGCAGTTACTTTTGCATCAACCTAATAATACATTTTTACTTGGTAAACGAACGATGTCTTGCAATACAAGTAGTTTATTTCCGGAACGAATTATGCTCGCAAACCAAGGTATTACTGTACTTCCCAAAGCAATCTATAGATTTAGTGCAACCTCTATCAAAATCCCAATGACTTTTTTTTGCATAAATGGAAAAAAACCCATCCCAAAATTCATATGGAATATCAAGAGACCCCAAATAGCAAAAACAATCTTGGAAAAGAACAAAACTGGAGGACTTGCACTTCCTGATTTCAAAATTTATTACAAAGCTTCAGTAATCAGAACAATGATAAAGTGATAAGACAGACATAAAGACCAATAAAACAAAATAGAGAAACTCAGAAACATACCCTCACATATATGGTCAAATGATTTTTTACAAAGGTGTCAAGACCACTCAAATGCGGGGAAGGTTAGTCTTTCAACAAATAGTGCTGGGAAAACTGGATATCCACATGCAAAATAATGAAGCTGAACTCTTACCTAACACCACATACAAAAATTACCCAAAATGGATTAATGAACATTTTACAAACAAAATTCTTAGAAGAAAACAGTACCACAAAAACTTTAAAACATTGGATTTGTTAATGATTTCTCTTGGATATATGATACCAAAGGCACAGGTGACAAAAAAAAAGTTGACAAATTGGACTTTACGAAAATTAAAAAAAAAGAAAAAGGGTGCATCAAAAGATACTATCCACTGAGTAAAAAGGCAATCCACAGAATGGGAGAAAATATTTGCAAAATCATATATCTGATAAGGGGTTAACGCCAGGATATATAGAGAACTCCTAAAACTCAACAAGAAAAAAACAGCCCAATTAAAAAATGGGTCAAGGACTTGAATAGACATTTCTCCAAAGAAGATATAGGAATAGCCAATAAGCATATGAAGAGATGCTGAACATCACTAATCATCAGGGAAATGCAAATCAAAATTAGAATGGACTACAACCTCACACCCATTAGGATGGCTACTATCACAATAGAAAACAAGTGTAGTCAAAGATAAATAGAATTATCATATGATACAGCAATCCCACTTCTGGGTTTATACTTAAAAGAATTAAGAACAGTTTTGAAGAGATACTTATAAACCCATGTGTATAGCAGCATTATTCACAAGAGCCAAAAGATGGAAGCAACCCAAGTTTCCATTGACAGATAGATACACAAAATGTGGTATAAACATACAATGGAATATTACTCAGCCTTAAAAAGGAAGGAAATTCTGACACATGCTACAACATGGAGGAACCCTAAGGACATTGTGCTAAGGGAAATAAACCAGCCACAAAGAGAGAAATATCATGATTCCACTTCTATGAGGTATTTGTAGTAGTGAAAATCATTAAGACAGAAAGTAGAAAGGTAGTTAGTTTCCAAGAGCTGGGGGCAGGGGGAATGGAAAATTGTTTAATAGGTATACAGTTTCCAATTTAAAGTTTTTTTTTTTTAATTGGGGAACTAGGGGATGGGAACAGCGCTGGGGAATTGGGGGAAGGGGAACAGACAAGTTGCTGTCGTTTTGTTCTTCAGTCTAGTTGTGGAGGACGTTGCTTCACTGGCCCAAGTTGGCACCATCATTGCACTCTTCCTGGGCGAGGCAGATCAGTCGCTGGCTTCTGGACGGCCACTCACAGCAGCTGCTGGCCGCTCACGCTGGCTGCTGGCTACACACGGTAGCCCATGGCAACCCACTGCCACAGGGGCTGCAGCCTATGCCGTCACCGGCGACTCATGGCAGCCCAGCTCCAGGTTGAGCTGTTGTTCAGCATCTTAGTTGTAGAGGGCAGTGTCACTGGCCCTCACATGTGGGATCCAAACCGGGGCCCTCTGGTGTCCCAAGCCAGCTCTTAACCAATGCGCCACTCAGCTGGCCCCAGCTTCCAATTTACAAGATGAAAAGAGTTATGGGGATGGATGGCGGTGATGGATCCACAACTATGAATGTATTTAATACCACTGAACTGTTCACTTAAAAAACGGTTAAAATGGCAACTGTTATGTCACATGTATTTTACCACAATACAAAAAAAGGAAAAAAAATTAATTCCTGAAGAATTCCAAATGTTTGAAATGTTTAGCCTCCCATGATAAATTAAAGAACATTACACGAAGAAATGATAATGTGCTTGCTTAACAATTCACTCTGAAAGCTTTAACTCACATCCATCACCGAAGAAAGTACGATGCCTAGGAGGATGGCACTGAAGCCTCACTGCCTGCTGGGACCTGGGCACAGATTAAACACAGCTGGGGTCTCGTTGCATGGTCACAGCTGTTACATGATTGCTGCAGTGGGGAAAACCTAGCTATGGACCTGTAAGCATTTCTCAGGAATAGCCGTTTGCTGGCGACAAGCTTATGATAAAGTATGATGCAATTATTTGAAGAAAATGTGCTGTCATGCTTCCGGTGTTGAGTTTTTAACAATAAAGCAAAATACCACAAACTGAGAAGTTCACATCACACTCACCCACATCACTTCCCTTTCTACTTGGTTTTGAAATTCAACTTCCCCTTTATTTTAAAATGACATATTTAAACCAGTCTTTCTTTGAAGAGGTGACCAGGAAATGGAACAATTTACTCTGTGGTTTTGGTAGAGATCCTAAACTCCTCCCTGTGGCCTGGCATGCACAGGACAGGCGCTGGCCACATGAAGACGTGAGCCCGACCACTTGAAGTGTGGTCCCGGGGTCAGCAGCAACTGCACAGTTTAGGATCTCCACCAAATCTTGGGACCCACCCCAGAACTCCTGAATCAGAATCTGCATCTGAACAAGATCTCCAGGGAACTGGTGTGCATATTAAGGCTTAAGAAGCACTCACGGCAGCATAATAGCCCTCATCAGTCTCCGGGCTGCTCAGCACCGCAATGGAGGCAATGCATGCATACTTGTGACTAGGGGGAAGGAGACTTAGGCTCTAGTCTCAAGACTTGTCGCTGAACATCTGCTTTGTTTCCCACCTATTACGTACTTCCAGCCCTGCCTACTGCTAGGACTGCTGTGAGAACCAAATGGGATCCTTGCTAACCAAGCTGTAAGTGATCTGGGCCCAGCCTGCCTCTCCGACCTTACCCTGAACCATTTTCCAAGTTGCACATTGCATTCTAGCCACACAGACAGCAGGCAGAGCTCATTTCTACCACAGGACTTTTGCACAGGCTGCCTTCTCTGCATGGAATGCTCTTCCTTTTGATCTTTGATTTTTGTGTATCTGGCTCCTTCTCAGTCATTCAGATCTCAGCCTAATACAGCGAGATTCACTAAACTCAGCGAGAACCTCAGACTACCCAATCGAGTCACTCCCTGGTGAGTCAACCTGTTCTAATTTTCTGCAAGGCACTTATCACCACGTGAGCAGGTACAGTTACTATCTTATTCTGGGTTGGAGTCTCAGTGCCTTGAACTGTGCCTGTCACACTAAATGCTCAGTACATATTTGTTAGATGAATGGCTAAAGAAGGTAAAAATACTCTTGAAAAAATATGGTACTATATGACATAAAAAAATGCATAAAACCTTCCTTGCTTTCATCTAGTGATTTGTCTTGGAAATGACAGCAATATTACATCGATTACTCTACAGCCTATGACATGTACGTGAAAATCTCCAGCCTTTTCATTAAGCAAGAAAAGACTGGAATATAAGCTGCTTTTAATCATGTTGGAAAGAAAGACGGTTCATTCACTGTTCACATCCCTCCTTCGGGTATCTTGGTGATAGTCTCTATTCACATTAATTTAATCCATTTCCCTTGAGAAAGTGAAGTGCTTAAAAAAGAAAAGTTTCTCTGAGGTTATAATATAGGATATTAATGTTGCTGTGCTAACAGGGCCCTGGCCAAGGATGGCCAGATGGCCTGGAGGCTGGCGTGGCCAAGCTGCTTGAGATTCAGAGAAGGCCGCAGGTCAGCCGCAGGTAAAACACGCAGCCTTAGACTGCAAGCCGAGAACTGTCCCCAGGTTTCTTCTGCCACAAAATTGAAACTTAATAATGGTTACTGGGTTAGTTGTGACTCCCAGTTAAGCATGAGAGAAATTGATTTTAAGTCCCATTTAGAGGTTCCAAAAGGTTTATACAAGTTAGTGACATAGCATAGAAGACCACACCTGTTTTCCTTAATCTATTTATACTCTTCCTAGTAAATGAATTCTCCTGCCAGAATGAGGTCAAGGCTAATGACTGTCCCCTAATCACAGGCAGTGATGCCTTTTTATGAACTACCTTCACCTCCCCTTCCTTAGTTCAAAAAATACCACAAAGGGAAGGCACACAAAGTCTCCATGTAATTGTCCAGTGTGCAGAATCAACAGAGTAATGGCCCCATCTGCTGGTTCTGGCTAAAACGGCGGAAAGGTAGGAGATGCAGCAAGTTAAGAATCCTGCTTTGAGCGCCTTCTCAGGGCCCCAGCACTGCTAAGAAGTCTTGTCTTCAGGAACAAAGTGATATGATGGGTATCTAAGTATTTTCTCTAAGGTTCCATGTCTTCATTCTTGCTTATTTATTTTTGGTTTTTAAATTAGCTGTATGGCTCCAGAAGCAACCAGAGGTGCAATGGTTTTATATCGGATCAAGTGCTGCGAGCCTTCCTCCAAGTCAATCACATAGTCCCTGAAAAAGGAGGAAAAAAAATGTCTCTGCAGAGCTTAGCTGGAGCTCTATCAGGAGGAATTACTTCCCACTGCCAAAGACACACACGTCACTCACCTCTGCTCGTCTGTTTCTGGTTCTACCAGTATGTTTTCTTGTCGTTCTTTCACTCTCAGAAACACATATGAATCTAAATCCGGTTTGGGAACTGCCAGGAAATATAATCAGAAAATGCTCAGCTAAAGAGATCAATATGGGAAAAGTAGCTATCATTAATAATATCGAGCACTAAGGGATCCCTGATATAAAAGCATTTTAGGGGTAAGGTGGTTTGAGGAGCGATCTGGCTCCTCTTAGAAACAGCGTACTTTCCACACATGGTTTCACACAGCAAACACTCATTCAACAAATGACGAGTGCTTCAGACATGCAGAGAAGTCTGCTCCACACCATGGAGGATTCATGGCATCTGGGCTAAGGAAGCAAGACTCAGATTTCACTAGGGCAGGCTGATCCCCCTCCCGCTCCCGGCCCGCCCCACCAGCTTCCAATTCCAGGAGCCTGGATCTGGTCTTTGTAGGGGATCCAGGACAAGTGGTATGTGAGTGTTTTAGTAGGTGTCCCCCAGTGTCAAACAGAAGCTCTGGGACAATTGGAACAATGTCTTAGATCCAGTTCCAAGAATTCAGATGCATGCCCATGGCTGCTTTAATCAACTGGATACAATAGCACTGGACAATGATTAGGGGTCCGGTGCTTGCTCCACTCCTATTCTTCTAAGGTCCAGACAAAACTGGCTGATCTGGACATGGATCGGGCCTTCTGTTTCCCTCAGGCAGGTTCACCAAAATTATCAATTCAGAGTTCCACAAGTCTGGTATCCGTTTGGCTTTGGCTTGCTCCTGGTGTTATAGGCTGCACTGTGCTCTCCCCCCACCCCCACCCCCCCAATTCATATGTTGATTCCCTAACTCCTAGTACTTCAGAATGTATTTGGAGATAGGGTGCTTTAAAAGGTAATTAAGTTAAAATGAGGCTGTTAGGGCGAGGCCTAACCTGACTGGTGTCCTTATAAGAGGAAGAGACACTGAGGTGCTTGTGCACAGAGGGACAACCATGTGAAAAGGCAGCGAGAGTGGCCATCTGCACGCCAAGCAGGGAGGTCTTGGAGGAAACCAACCCTGCCAGCACCTTGATCATGGACTTCTGGCCTCCAGATCTGTGAGGAAATCAATGTCTGCTGTTTGAGCCCCCAAGTCTGTGGTACTTTGTTATGGCGGCCTGTGCTGACTGACACCTGGTGAACCCTGTCCCCACCGTCCTGCTCTAGCTCTTCCACCTGCCACAGGGGTCACAGTGTGGCCCCAGCTCAGGCTGGGGTGCAGATGAACTCTCAGGGTTCAGTTGTACCTGAACTCGTGGCTTCAGCACACTAAGCTTAGCTTGTGAACAAAGTGGATTCCAGTCCCTGGAGCATTGTTGGATTTGGTCTAGAAATTTTGCCTGATAAGGTCCTGCTTGGATATGGCGAGCTGTGAACAGATGGAGGGATATTGACATTTAGCTACATACTAGGGGTCCCCTTTTAGTTGATCCAAGGTTAGGAGTTACTACCATAACTCCCTGCCCTTAGCTCACTGGAATTTTAAGGCGGCTCTGCGAAGAGGGTGAGGCGCAGGCACTGCCATGCTTCTCCTCCCCATTCTCTCAGGCCTGCTCCCCCTTTCCATAGTGAGAGAAACTCCTCACAACAAAAAGATCAGGAGGCCTTACGACAGGTAACAAAGAATCACTGAAAGTTTCCATAGCCTCCTATTTAAATCCTCCTTGGTAGCTATATAGTCCCTGCACAGTCTGGAATCTGTGAGGAAAAGATTGCTAGCTACTTGAGAGCAGAGACTAGAGAGAAGAGCCTAGCATGGTGCAGATGCCCAGTAGATAACAACTGAATACATGAGTAAGTCTACATTTATAATGGCCGTCATAAGAATTGCAACCTAACCTGAAGAACACATGGCTACCCTTATACCTGCTTTTAATAATTTTTTTGTTCTTAACTCAGAACCTTTCTCTTTTTTCTCCCTGCTTACCCACATACTTATTTTTCCATGTTTGACAGAAACAGAGTACAGACAAATATACCTGAAGATACTTGGGATGTAAAATAAACTATGGCCCCTCGGGATATCTGAAAAGAGAATGTTGTGCTTACCTGACCTCAAGAGGTCCACCTTCTGTAAATTAGGGGGCATATGCTTTAAGGCAACATTCTTCAGATAGGTTTCTGTGTTAGTCATGTACCTGAAATACATAAATCCAAATCGCTGTGACAACATGGCTGGTAGGAGCCATCAGGATTATCAGACAGACAATGGCTCTGAGATCGGCTTCATGGATACAACCACCAAACCTCATGCTCACGAGCCAGGCAGGGAAAGGCAGTTCCCACACTTACTGCCTACTTACTCTTTGGCAAAGGCAAACTCTTCCGGAGAAAGGCTCGAAGGCTCTCCCTCGTTGCGTGTTTTCTCCTTTTCAAGGATATGAGGAAAAAACTTCTCTATCTGTGAGGATAAAATTATCATGAAAACATCTGTCAAGATTCAAGTGTCAAACATACTAGTTTTCTGAAATAGGTTGAGATTAATACAGAAATTGACTTAAAAAATGGCAAGTCTTTGTGGTCAAGACTGTTTTTAATAACAACCTACACTGTGGACTTGAAGAAGGCAGGTTTCAAAGAATTCAGAGGAAAGATCAGGGCCCTAAGAAGGAAGGCGGGTTTAAAAAGAATGGGAGGCTTTCATAAAAGGTAATCTGAAAATACAACTGTAAATGATATTTAAGAGGAAGAGAAGGGGATATAATTTGACATATTTACGTAATTGTACATGGTGTTGTTCTATGAGATGAAACATACAGTAGACAGAAAGATGCATACAGAATACAGAAGCAGATAGAATAGTGACACTTAATTATAGGAATATAACCAGCAAGGACAAAGCCCACAATGAGGCGAGGCTTGGAAAAATTGCAAAGAACTACCAAGAAAAAAAGTCACAAGCTACAAAAAGACAAAAAGTTGTGTGGTTCGAAATCTGGAAGGGATCAGTGTGTTGTTTGAAGTCAATAGTTATGGTTATCTCTATCAAGAAAACACTCCTTATAAGCAGGGAAATGACAATAGTAAGGAGGAAATGAAGGCCAAGATAAAAGGACACTTATCTATTTATGTTCCAGAGTAAACTAACATTTGTATGGAGTTTAAGTGTATGAAGCACTTTCTCCTGTTTTATGTAAATTGCTACTACTACAGTATCATTTAGTGTACTAAAAATATAGTAGTTCCATAATCTTAGAAGAATTTTTAGTTCAAAAAAGGTGTGAAAGATTAGAGATAGGCAAATTTCCCAATTTTCAAAAATATAGAAGGTAAGGAATCTTCGAATACTGATTAGTACACTTAACACTGATGTGTGGTATTAGAATAGATCATTTAAAAGATGGTTTATGAACTCAAAGAAAAGTAAATGGTTAACATGACGAGGATTTACCCTAACAACAAAAAATAGTTAAGGGTGGGTGGAGAGGCATATCACATGTCTCAATTTTTTCAAAACATTGATAACGTCTTTATGACACCTTTACAGACATAAACCTGGGGCTGGGTGATAATATAGATTGGGAGGTCATAAAACAGTTGAACAAAGAATAATGATTCAATGGGCAGATGTCAATCTGTAGGGAAGTCTGTGGTGGAATATTCTATCATTGGCCCAGTCCTTTTTAAGGAAATCAGCTAAGACCTTTGATGACACACTTATCAAACTTGCTGATAACATAGTCTTAAGAGATAGCTAATATATTAGGTGACAAGATCAGGAACCAGAGATCAGGGAAATGGCTCAATTTAATAAGATGAAGTTTAAGAAGGATAATATCAAGCCCTATACTTAAGAGTTAAAAATCCAGCCATACAAATACAGAATGGAGACAGGATGGGTAATAACTTAAAAACTTCAGATAAGGTTAGAATTAACAGTGAGGGCAGAATGAGTTAGTGTGATGTGTCTGTCAAATATACTAATGTGATACTAGGTGGCATTACTACCATTTTAATATCTAGAATAAAGGAAGTGATTGTCCTGCTTTTCACAAACATGATCAAACCACAACTGGAATATTGTATTCAGTTGAAGTGGTATCATTAAAGAAGGATATTGACAAACTAGAACCTTTGTAGGAAAGACCAGGAGAGTAAGTGGAAATAAACAGTTGAAATGTTTAGCTGGGACTTCAATGAGACTTATGAGCTCTCTTCAGATGTCTGAAATATTCTCATATAGTAGAATGTATTTGTGGAGTCACAAATGGACAAGTGGAGTAAAATGAGACGAAACTTCAAGCAAGTAAGAACTTTACAAGGCTAAAACAGATATTATACAAAATAAGACTGTCTTACAACTTCATTGTTATGTTAGATGGCCACAGAGCTACAGTTGAATGTCAAGTCAGCACTGCCATGCTGTAACTCCAGGAGGAACCATTCACACAGCAAATAAACAGACTAAAAACGTGTCCTCAGAAGTGTGCAACAAACGTTCCATCGATGCTTCTCCAGAACAATCTCTTGCCCTCCTTACTCTTCTTTTTAAAATTATTTTTATTTTTTTAGCTGAGCCATCTTGCCACCTGTTGGCAGCTCAGCTCGGGCCTATGTGGGAATCGAACTGGCAACCCTGTTGCTCAGAGCTCGTACTCTTGAGCAAGCTCTTAACCAATGGAGCCACTTGGCCGGCCCTTGCCCTTACTCTTTAGCTGCCCTGATATTGGGCCTCAGCAGCATCTTCAGGCTCTGGACCCTCCCAGGCCCCAGCCCAACATCCCCCCAAGATGCTCACACTATATCACAGACTGCACTGCCTTAGTGCCTACAGGTATCTCCATGTCAAACCTTCATGAGCCGACACCGCAAGTAGCTGCTCAGGACATAGCGGATCCTCTCCATCTCCATTCGATGGATACTGACCTTCAGGTCCCCCTTCTTTGCTCTCCTGAGATTTTCTTCCTATTAAAAGAGAAAATGAAGTTTATAAAAAACAGGATATTCAACTACTAAGAACTTTCTTTGTTTAACCTACACGCAGCCCACAGAGACCATTATCATTGGCAACACTGAGGACTCAAACACTACATTTAGGTAAAAGGGGAACAAAATACTCATCACATAAGAGTTCTTATTTTCTTTTTTTTTTTTTT